GGACGGCCTGGCATGTTGGTGATTTTAAAGCCCCTCTATTTTATAGCTCCTACGTCTGTCACTTTTCCTCTTGGTTTTCAGTGTTCTGGTCCTTTTTTTACAGCATGTGTTGTACATTTTTGTTTGATGTTGGACATTGTGAGTAAATTATTGTGGGGGCACTGGAATGGCATTCTGTACTCCCAAAGAGGGTGAGGCTTTATTCTTACAGGCGGATAGTTTCAGCAGATCACTGGGCCCTGGTTAAGCTTTGCTTCTAGGCCTCACTGTTTCCGAGTGTGACGCCCGTCTTCCTGGCGAGTGGACCTCCTGCACTCTCAGAGGAAAGCCTGCACTGTCTGCTTGGCCCCCACCTGCGCAGGCATGATCTACAACCTGTTTCTCCCCATGCCACATGGCTGCTGAATGTGTGCTCAGCTCCTTAGCCTCCAGGTGCTCTTTTCTGCTGGTTCTTGCAGTGTCCCTGGCTTGGGCAGCTTAGGGTTGGCCACAGCCTCTGAGGATTTGGAATCAGGATTTGGGGCTCCTTTTCTGCAGGGTTTCTCCTTAAGTTTGGACACCTGTCTGCTTAGTAAGGCTGTGCTTGCTGCTTTTATTTCCCCCACGCCAGCGGGGGACGAGCTCACGGGGTAAACGGAGTAGGGGGGGTTAGTGTTACTTTGTTGTTTCCCTTCCTTCAAGGGTCAGAGCCCACACGTCCTACCAGTGTTTGCTGCCCTCCAAATACCTTAATATATGTAATGTGTATCTTTGTGTTTGTCCAGATTTTATAATTGTCCTTACCGGGAGGCGGGGGAGTTCAATACAAGAATTCTGTCTGAAAGCAGCATTTTATAAAGGTGAATCTAATGGGCAAAACGACAGGGAGGAGGGCACCATAGGGCTCTCTCTTACTTCTCCAAATTGGCCCAAATCCTGGGTCAGCCTTTGCTGTTTTCTCAAGCTGCAGCCAGAGGGCGCGCCAACCCAGGAGTTCTCGGCAGGCGGGGGCGCTGGGTGGGCCTGGGAGCGGGATCCTGAGGATGGGTGAGAGGGCGAGAGCAGCTGTTGCTTCCCGGGGGATCATGCTGCCCTAGCTTCCAGGGCTGTCAGCCCTTCTCATTCTCAGGTCACAACACGGAAGAACGCCTGGGACGCGCGGGCGGGATCAGGCTCCTGGACGTTCAAAACCTGTCCATCCCCTTCCACTTGCTCAGAGCTACATGGTGGATGCAGGAAGGCCTCCGCCTCGTTCTGTGTGGGATTCCTCACTCGCATCACAGCCCCTGCCCAGACACAGTGTGAGGGCGAGTAGGTGCGGGCCTCTGCCATCGGGGAACCTGACACTGTGGACTTTGTCCCCTCCAGGCTCCTTCCCCACCTCGGATGGGCACCCAAAGCCGACCCCACGTGGCCTCATTCTCTCCCTCAAGACATCCAGGGGTGACCCTCAAACCTGGCCCAGTGGTGACTCCCTGCCCTCGCATCTCTGACAAGGTTCTCAGCCCCTACCACCCCACACCCCCCCCACCTCCGGCATTGGGTGAAGGATTCCTAGGACCTCTGTGCCTGAGGCTCAGAGTTTTTGCTGTTTCTGCTGCCCCAGAAGACTCACCGCCCACCCCTAGCACACTGCAGGACCCCTGCAGGCTGGTTTGGGCAAGTGAATGGTTGGATATCAGTTCAATCCCCACCCGTGGCCTTTACCAAGGACCTGGGATTTCTTCCCACAGTGACACTTTATGGCTTTTCTTTGGCATATCTGAATTGCCAGCATCACTACTCTTGTGCTCTGGGACCATTATTAAGTATAATAACGGTGACTTGAACATAAGCACTGCGATACCATGACATTCGATCTGATAACCAAAACGGCTACTAAGTGACCAATGAGCAGGGAGTATATAGAGTGTGGAGACACTGGACAAAGGGATGATTCACTTCCTGGGCAGCACTCCCTGCGATTTCATCACGCTACTCAGAACAGTGCACAACTTAACGAATTGTTTATTTTTGGAATTTTCCGTTGAATGTTTTTGGACCACGGGTAACGGAAACTGTGAACAGCAAAACTGTGGACAATGGGGGACGACTGTACTTCTCTACACCAGTTTTAACAGCCAGATCCTTTGCTGTGGGGACACAGCATCAAGTTCTTACCACTCTGTGGACACTTAAGTTGTCAGCAAGTCATCTTATTATGAACAAAAGCTACATAACTGTACTTTACAGTTATGGGTGGGGCCACTGAGGGTTTCTTTGCTGCTGTTGGTGGCTGAGGGGTGGGGGACTCCTGGCTCCAGGAGGAGCCCGCAGAGGGTGGGGACATGAGAAAATGTGTGAACTGTGATCTGTCCACAGGTGAGTTAGTGGGTGTGAGAACTCAAGGCAGAGTGAAAACACTCTACGCATAGGAGCTGGGCAGTGATGCTATTGCTGTGCGGGCTATCTCGCTCCTGTCCTAAGGGGAAGAGGACCCACTTCCCCCCCAAGATCAAGGGAGAGGGGAATGTGGTAGAGGAAAGGTTCCCAGCATGAGGCTGAAGATGCAGTTCCAGTCCCAGCTTTGCTGCATTTGATGAGCTTCCTCCTCTATCAAGGGGACAAAATATTAAGGTTCCTACTCTTTAGCCTGCTGTGTGGATTGACTGAGGTAGTCACCACATAGACAACAAGGTGCTGGGGATGTAAAAGGGCTCACTGAATGTCAGTTGGCATTTATTATTGCTGTTAGCTGTGTGACTCTGGGCAAACTGCTTTCCTTCTCTGGACCTCTGATTTTCACTTCCATGTGATGAGGGCCTTGGTGTGAATGGCCTTGTAGCCCCATTCCATACAATTGGACTCTGTTCTCTCGAAAGGTCACCCGAGTCTGCGGCTTCTTCTGGAATGCTGCATGGAAGGTAGCAGGGCGGTTTCAGCACCAGGGATGGAGGACAGCAGCCTAGGAGCTGTCCATGGGGCTGAATTCACCAGAGGACCTCCTGGAGGAGAGGGCAGCAGAGGTGTGGGCGGTGGGCTGGGGGTGGCAGCAGTGGATGGTGAGAGATGGAGAAAGCCACCATCCACGGGGCACAACAGAGCCTTGCATGTGACTATAGCTTGTGGAGTTGCAGCCTTTCTAGAATTCCTGGTAGCCCCAGTGGGGATCTAGGTGCTGTGTTTGGGGGCATTAAGAGCCACAGCCTGGCACATATATCATCTCCTCTGCCACCTTTTTTTCTCCCCATGAGCCCTCTCCCCTCTCCACTCATCTCTGTGGTCCCATGTTCAGCCAGATCCTGGAAATCACATTTTTGGGACCAAACTAATGAAAATACTACTGAGCCAGGACTCCTGCACAGGATGTTCATAGCAGTGTCATTTGGGATTCACTCAAGCTGGAAACAACCCAAAAGTCCATCAGCAGTCCATCACGCATGAACATTTGCCGCTTAGTCTTTCGGTGGAATATTACACAGCAGTGGAAATGCAGGAGCTAAAGTCACACACAACGGGGATGAATCTCTCAGCATGATGAGAGTGGAATAAGCTAACTACTACATGTGGTTGTGGTTATAGAAAGTTCACACATAGGCAGGATAAAGGAAGGATTTTGCAGATGCGAGCTGGGGAAGTGGCCACCTCCTAGGGGCTGGGAGGGAAGGAGTGATGGTTACCCATGTGCTCCCTTTATTCATTCAAACATTAATTTATCTTTTGTGCACCTTCTCTATGTATATTACATTCCATGATGCAAATGTAAAGAAAGAGGAAGACACTAGCGGTTGTTGGACTTTCTGGGGGAGGGGGCTATTAAAAAACACATATTCCAGGGTACTGCTCCTGGGTACTCAGTTTGGAGGCCCAGGAATCTGCATGCTAGCTGGGTTCTTCTGGGTTTTGAGGGGTGCGCCTGACCTGCAGCCCGAGAAGCCCTGGCCTGAAGGCTGGAATCTGCATTCTAAATGCCCCTGAAGAGCCAGGCCTCTGGCCACTAGGAGGGAACAGTCTGCGATTCCTGCTTTCTGAGCCAGCAGAGGGGCCCCTTTGGGGGTCTCTTCCCAAGAGAAGTGCAAACCATGCCCCTCATGGAGTGCACAGCAGCAAGCCCCAGTCTCAGCAGGAAGGGCCTGGGGCACCCCTGCTCCCCAAACCCCTATAGCTGGGGCCCCAGTTCCACTCCTTCACCTGAGCCAGCCACTCCCTTTTCTGAGCCTCAGTTTCCCCACTGGCACGTGCTCCAGGAGGTGTTCAGCAAGTGCACCCTCCTTTCATTTCCAGATCACTGTGAAAGGCCCCCAGGGGGGCGGCCACCACACCAGAGTCACAATCAGATTCCGGACAGCTGGGCATTCCTAGTTAATCCCAGCCTGGTCTCTCACAGAGAAGGGGACTGGTTCCTGCACCCCCACCTCCTCCTCTGGTTACTGCTGTTAAAGGCTCAGCTGGCTAGTGAAACGGGGGTGGGGGTTCTTTCCCAGCCCGATGAACTCCTGGGGAGCCCCTTTCCAGGGCCTGAGAGGGGAGGCAGTGGGTCTTGGGCTTTCCTCTCACAGATCTCCCTGCTGGGTAGGCTGCATCAGCTGACGCGGGGTTGGAGTGTTAAGCCATGCAGGGGGAGGGTGAGGGGCATAAGGGAGGGGGAGAAGTTGCGGGGGGGCTGTGTGTCTGTGCTTACGTGTGCGCGCGGCATTGCAGCCTGCGGGATGAGAAGCCTCCATCCACGGACTGACTGAGGTACAGGATCGGTTTCCCTCTCTGTCTCTCCTGGAAGAAGGAAGAAGAAGGCACCGAGGCTCTTTGCGGGGTAAGTTCTTAGTGCTTGCAAGTTTCTACTGGGGGCTGGGCTGGGTGGGAGACAGTGGCCCTGGCTGCCCATCTGATGGAATGTTCTGTGGAGATGGACAAGTGTGCAGGCAGGAGGCAGAGGGATGGAGGTGGAGCCCACTGAGACTGAACTGCGGGGGGGGGGGGGGGGGTGGAGGGGGGACGGACTTGCACATCTGGAAGGGCTGCTGTGAGAACTCTGGATTCAGTCCTAGGGCTGCCAGCCTCTGCAGCTGGAAGGGAAGTGAGACCTTTGGGAAGTGGGATTGCTGCACTGGGATCCTGGGGTGATCATCTCCTCAGCTAAACAAAAAGGGAGGCTCATTTTCAGGATAGCGATGGGCCTGGGGTGTATGTAGGCATCTGTGAGTATCAGGGTGTTATATGTGTTCTGTGAACTTGTGCTCGTGGGCATGAGATAGTGAACGGTGCGTGGGTGTGTGTCCATATTTACAGTACATATACCTGTGTTGTGGGGTGTGAGAGAGCGTATGTCATGTATTTAATATGCATGTGTGCGTTTGGGTCCCTGGATTTTGGATACAGGGTGTGTGTGTCAGTGGCTGCAAGTGTGTGTCTGTGAAGAAGTGTGTGCTGCACATGTGTGTGTTGAGGTCTGTTGTGTATGTGTGTGTTGTCATGCGTGTTGGATAAGCTGAGGAGGGGAGTTTTGGTTCATGAGTGTTTTTGTGTGTATGTGTGCTCAAGTGTCTGTGACTGTATTGGTGTACATGGGGAAGAGTTATGGGATGTGTGTGCAGCATGTGTCTGTATGCATGTGTGTGAATATGATGTGACTGTTGCATTTGTGTGTATATGTGCATGCTTGAATGTGTATGCAGTGTGTGTTGTTTGTGTTGTGTGTGTAGATTATGTCAATGTATACAGGTATGTGTTGCAGGTATATTGTGTGCATGTGTACACAGGTATGTTATGCGCATGCATGTTGCACGTGTGTTGTGTGCAGCATATATGCATAGGCATGTGTTGTGGGTATGTTGCATGCATGCATTGTGTGTGCATAGGTGTGTTATGTGTATGTGTTGTGTTTATGTTGCATGTGTGTGCGCAGGTGTGTGGGCAGCATGCTATGGACCATCACTTCTCTCCCAGCCCTGCTCAATTCTGTGCTCTGGTCCCTGCCCTGTCAGGGCTGCAGTGGGGCTGTAGGGACTGTAGGGGCTGTTGGTCACTAGGGCTGGGCAGGAGTGGGTGGAGCACCTGGCCTGGCAACTGGCTCCAGCTGGTCATCAGCCTCAGCCTCATCTGCACAGAGGAGCATCTGCTGCCTGCTCTAGGTCATCATGGGGGTCGGCCTGGCTGGTGGGGAGGCAGGGTAGGGCTGTCGTGGGCCAGCTCTGCACACTCCTGGCTTCCAGCGCCAAGTTGGGGCTCTGAGGGGAACTGACATGTGGCCCTTCAGATCAATGACACTAACAGGGTTAAAAGGTAGAGGTGTGTGTGTGTGTGTGGTGTGAGTGGTGTGTGATGTGTATGTGTTGTGTGTGGTATGTTTTGTATGTATATAAGTGTGTTATATATTGTGTGCTGTGCTGTGTGTTTTATGTATGTGTGGTATGAATATGTGGTGTGTGGTATGCTGTGTGTGTGTGTATGTGTGTGTGTGTGTCCTGTGCCCTCACCTGTTTGCCCAAGTCCCAGCTTTGACTTAACCCACTGAGCAGATGACTCTGTGGCTCTATCAGCTTATAATAAAACCCCTTTTGCTGTCATTCCCAGGAGTACAAGAAGGGGGGTGGCACCTCTGAACAATGACAGGTGGAAGGGGGTCTGACTGTGGATCAGTTTCCAGACTGAGGTGGAGCAAGGGTCTGCAGTGGCCAAGGCCGGGGGTGGGGGGGCGGCTCCTGGGCCAGTCATCAGCTTCTGGCTCAGTTCCCAGGAAACTGAGCCTGGGCACCTACTAGCCCTGGGTGCATCGATCTTACTCACTCCCTACAGCACAGGAGATGTTGGGCAGCCTGTTACTAGCTACTGTTATTATCCCCATTGACAGTTGGGGAAACTGAGGGTCAGGGAGACCAAAGCCTTAATATATATATATATATATTTTTTTTTTTAAAGATTTTTATTGGTGAATTGGGGGGATGGGAACAGTGCTGGGGAATTGGGGAAGGGGAACAGACAAGTTGCTGTCATTGTGTTCTTCGGTCTAGTTGTGGAGGATGTTGCTTCACTGGCCCAAGTTGGCACCATCATTGCACTCTTCCCGGGCGAGGCAGATCAGTTGCCGGCTTCTG